GTACAGGGACTGGGAATCTTGTTAAAGTTGAGGGACGCATGGATTCCAACCAGTATCAGCAGATTCTGGAGACCAATGTCCAGGAATCAGTCAGTGACAAAACTGAAGCTGCTGAAGCCGGGGCTGCATCTTCCAACAAGACAACCACCCTAAACACTGCTCAGAATCTACTGAGGCCTTCATGCAGAGGAACAAGTAGAACGTTCTGGAATGGTCATCTCAGTCCCCAGACCTGAATATTATTGAAAATCTGTGGTGTCACTTAAAGATTCATGCTCAGCTGTCCATTCTCAGAAACCATCAAACCTGAATGAACTAGAGATGTTTTGTAAAGAAGAATGGTCTAAAATACCTTCAGACACAATCCAGACTCTCATTAGAAGCTGTAGGAAGTGTTTAGAGRCTGTTATTTCTGTGAAAGGAGGAGCTACTAAATATTGAGGTAAGGTTTTATTTTTGGTGCCCAAATTTCTGCACCTGCCTAATTTAGTTTAACCAATTATTGCACACTTTCTGTAAATCATATAAACTTCATTTCACTTCTCAAATATCACCGTGTTTGTCCCCTATATGATATATTTAATTTAGAGTTTTTTATCCAAACAATCAATGCTTTATAAAGATAAATCAGGAAAATTAACAAGGCTGCCCAAACTTTCGCACCTCACTGTAACTGTTTCACTTTGGTTGAGAAATTTTAAGATAAGTACTTGAAGCTGAAATCAAAATATTATTTCCAAATTTTATGTGGTAATTTTACTTTTGTTGGGTTGAATTTTATAGTTTGTTGTTTTTATTGTTCACTTGTTTTATTAAAATCCTAAAGGGAAAATTCAGTCTCTTTTATTAATGTTTTTATTTGAAATTTCCAGTAATGCATGAATTTAGCCCTCAGCAGTTGAATAATCTAAGTATTGAAGACTGATAAATTTAATCTGGTGCCACTTTTTAACGAGTTTAAAACACTGTTGTTACTTTTCTTCCTTCTGCCTTCTACTGACATTTACACATTTGTTAAGTGTGAGTTATTTTTGCAATTTATTGTTCTGTGTTTATTATTTATTGTCTTACTGATGCTTGTAAATTAAGTTGTTTGCTGTTTATATTGAATTTTTTGACGTTTCGTCATTCAGCCCTTTGTTGACAACATGTTGTTTTAGAAATGTGTTTTATAAATAAATTTGATTTGACATTTGGTTTGATAAATGTCACCTTTTGAATGATTTTTGAAGACCTGAATGGAAAATAGTGTTTTGAGTCATTTGTTATTGAAAATTACCTACTCTGACTAAAATCATTCTGCCATGGTGGAAAGAAAAAAATGAATGTTAAACTCAAGGTTTGGGTATTTTGTTAAATGTCCTTTTAGTCTTCAGAGAACATTCCTTTTTTAAAAAAGGATCCATCCATTTGTTTTCGTCCACTTATTCATGATCGGGTCACAGAGACCATAAATCCAGGATGTGGGGGACATCTGTTCTGCCAACAACACTCTCCAGCTCCTCCTGGAGGATCCTGAGGTGAGGGGACAAACTGTGTACTCTTGGTTTGCCTCAGGGTCTCCTCCCAATAAGACAAGTTCTGAAAACCTCCAGAAGGAGGCGCCCAGGAGGATCCTGATCAGATATGAAAACCACCTCAGCTGTCAGCGAGGAGGAGCAGCAGCTCTTATCTGTGCTCCTCCACAGGTGACTCCTCCTTATTCCCTCCTCTTATTATCTCTGGGACTAAGTCTGGCCCCCCTAAACAGGAAACTCATCTCAGTTTCAGTACTTTGATTGTGATTCATAACTGAAGACTGCATGTGGAAGCTGGGACATGGACATATTTGTCTGCAGAATCACCAGTAGTGGAGGGATTCAGGTATCCACCCTGATCCTGGATGTTATATGGTCGGGAGGACATGCCATGCAGGGTCTCTAATGGCATACTGGTCTTAACAGAGGGGTCACACTAAAATGGATGAAGGAGACAAACATAAAACAGGTAAATACCCCAGTAATAGGGACCGTCCTGGAACCAGACCAGGGGGCAGTCTGTCAGTAGCTAAGCCCTGACGACTGGGTCTCAGCTGGGACAAGACTGAAAAACTACAGAGAGCCACCTCCCTGTGGACCCACAGCTTGCAGGACCGAGTCACGGTCTGGTGTTGACGGCAGAATCGACTGAGATTTCCTTTCACTCCTTTCAGAAACACAACAGTAGAATGTGACTTTGCTCTTTTCTGACTTTTGCCTTTCATCTAATCATTTGGTTGCTTCTACAAACAATTCCAATTTAAGTTGGGACGTTGTGCAAAACAAATAAAAACAGAACATGATGATTTGCAAATCCTTTTCAAACTATATTCAATTGAATAAACTACAAAGATAAGATAATTATTGTCAAAATGGATAATCTTTTTTTATATTAAATATTCACTCATTTAGAGTTTGATATCTGCAACATCCAAAAAAAGCTGGGACAGAGTCAACAAAGCATAAAACAGCTGGTGAACAGGTTCATTGGAAACTGGTGAGTGTAAACGGAGCATCCCTGAAAGGGTCAGTTGTTCACAAACAAAGATGGGGCGAGGTTCACCACTTTGTAAACAACTGTGTGAACAAATAGTCCAGCGGTTTTACTGTATGCTGCATTCCGGTTGTCCTCGGAGGTCGTAGCTTCGAGCCTCTGAGTTCGATTTTTCAACTGGAACGCCCCCTGAAGTTGTAGTTTCGAGTCGAGAGCTCGGCGCATCCAAACCATACTCGAGCAGCCCGAGCATGCGTTATGTCATCATTTCAACATGGCTGCTGCGCGCATGAAACTGTCAGCGGTCGCGCTATCATTAGCATGTTTCTCTAAGCTAACAGCTAATGTTGAGCTGTAATCAAACGTACACAAGCACCATCCCCATTATTTAACAGACAGAAAGTAAGAAGAGAGGAGGCAGAATAAAAACAAGTGTAATTTGTTTGTTTATTTTCCCTTTTAATATTTGTTTATTGTATGTAGCATACTAGCATGCTTGTCAGAGCTAACCGCTAATGTTGCTAGTCTTGCATGTAAACAAACGCGGCTTCTGTGTTATTTTACATTATGTCAGACATAAAAAACAAAATAAAAAATTTGTATAGGTCTTCTGGACGGGTTCGTCTCTAATGAAACGTTTCGTCTCTCCTCCAAGAGACTTCTTCAGTCTGAGAGTTTCAGGCTAAATTCAGGCTTTTAAGCCCTGCCTCCATGTGACTGATACTCACATCACATGGCTATCGTTGACACCTAATTAACACCTATTGTTAACAGGGGGTGGAGTGATACTGGCAATAGCAGCGCTGTAGGAGGGGGACAACTGAAAACAGAGGCCTCCACCTCTGCTTAATAACTCTCAGACTGAAGAAGTCTCTTGGAGGAGAGACGAAACGGTTCATTAGAGAAGAACCCGTCCAGAAGACCTATACAATTTTTTTCTTTTTGATTTTTTACCTGGATTACTGAGATAGTTAAAATATATGTTTTAACACTGTTTGTACACTCAAAATACCTCGTAGAGCACTATTATTGCACGTTTTATTGTTGCAGAGCAAAATAACAGAAACATTTTTTCCGATGTTTGAAACTGGAACGCTATCAGCTCGGAACTGACGTCAGTCCGGCTTCAGAATTTCGAGTTCCGATACAACTGGAACGCAGCATAAGAACAATGTTTCTCAACATGGAAAAGTGTCCTGTGGTCTGACAAGTCCACATTTCAAATTGTTTTCGGAATTATAGGTGTTGTGTTCTCTGGGCCAAAGAGGAAAAACGCCAAAAGCCAGCCTCTCTGATGATATGGGTTTGTATTAGTGCACATGGCATGGGTAACTGTCACATCTATTAATGCTGAAAGCTACATCCAGGTTTTGGAGCAACACATGCTGCCATCTAAGCCACATCGTTTTCAGAGACGTCCTGCTGATTTCAGCAAGACAATGAAGACAGATTCTGCACGTGTTCCTGCAGTGTGGCTTCAGAGTAACAGAGTGCAGGAACTAGACTGACCTGTCTGCAGTCCACACCTGTCTCCCACTGAAAATGTGTGGAGCTTTATGAAGCACAAAATACAACAGAGACCCCGGACTGTTGTTCATCAAGCAAGAATAGAAAGAATTACAGCTACAAAGCTTTCTTTTTTTCTTTTTTGGCAAATCATCATATTCTGTTTTATTTGTTTTGCACAACCTCCCAAATTCATTGGAATTGGGGTTATAATAAAATCTGTCTGAAGAGGTAAAACAAGCAGGCTGAATATTTTTAACTTAGGTTTTGTTTTCTTTAATGGGAACGTGGAATAATTAGGCTCACTAGACTTTATTACCTCAATTAGAAATATGAGTTTTGTTTCCGGATTGTATCCTGAGAGTTTTCTGTGAACACTGAAGACACGTTTAGTTAAGTCAGAAAAGTGATGTGGTCCTGTTTAGATATATTTTCTTTCGTCTCTCTAGCTGTGTTTCCATTGACCATGAAAATGCGCTAATTAGAATTTTGAAAATAAATTTGCTCAATGGAAACACGTCAATTTAGAAAAAAATTACATTTTTCGACAAAATGTTTTTGCACTAGGATGAGGTGGTTTTTCAGCCGTATCTAAATTGGTGTTTTTTGCAAAACTACAATGGAAACACTTTTTTCACATCACAGGAGTCACAACAACCTGCTGTTTCTACTGGTGAAAAAGACGATGATGAAGAAGATAACAGGAAGTAGAAGTAGTAGTAATATCACAGAAGTAGTATAAAATAGTAAACTCAGCGACTACAATTTCCCAAAAACACAGCATACGTAGCCGCTCCCAAGTAGGGACTTGTCTCTGGAAAGCCTCGATAAAAGACGCCGACGTCTCCTCTGATGATGAGCGCTAGTGTCGTGGTAGCAACATGCTATGTGTTTACATCCATCGCTGCCATGTTTGTAATGACTTATCATGAGAACAAACGTATTCACGTGACTTTAATAACATTTATTACTTGATGGAAACACTGCAGTTGCGAAACTGTGTTTTACGACATTAACAAAATATCGACAAAGTTTTGCGCACATTTGCAATGGAAACACAGCTTCTTTTTATAAAACCCCAGAACCCTCATTCAATGGGCCTCCATAGTTCCACCTCACATGAAGGAGGGTGGTCTCACTAAAGCCCTGACAGTATTTTCAGAATAAGAAAACCAACATGAACATCTCGTATCTGACAGGCTGTGAAGCAAACACCTGAACGGTTTCATAGTTCAGGTATTAGTTAGTTGATTTTAGCGCCACATACAGTTCAGTTGAGTGTTCACACCATCACACATGCTACATGAGAGGGACACTTTAAACACCAGCATTTATGACAAACTTCACTCAGCTGCCAAAATGTATTCTGCTGCTTCGATGGAAACAGATGAATTTTGGCTTTGCTCTGAGGCTTAAAGACCTTCATTATTCTGTTTTCTATATGCATGTGTGCTGCATACTGATCAAGGCAGGCAAATTCAATCCAAACAAACAGAAGCCGACGAGAAACACGGAGGTCAACTGAGCCCAAGAGCTGTGTTCATCTGGCTCTGACTCACAGCACGAGTGGCTGATAAACAAGCCAAACTAATTATTGGCTTTTATCAGCCTAAATATCACAATAACCCCTTTTCACCGACCTTTACAGTTTAATAGCAAAGAAGACAAACATAGCATCGATGTATTTGTAGAGGTCACCCTGGTGAAAAAAAACTTTTCTATTGTTTATTTTCTTTGTCTTTGATTTTATTTTTTACACTTATAAGAAGAAAATCATTTTAAAGTGTTTTTTATTTTCTTTAAGTGAATAGGACAAAGTCCTATATATATGTTATCTCATTTAATCTTCTATTTAACCACGCCGCCACAGCTGCCCCAACTATAACTTTGTTAATGTGAGATTCTATGATTTACACATAAAGAATGTTGTTGTTTTTTTCTTGGTAAATACTTTGGAATACCTTGCAAAAAGAATTTAATGTTGTACTAAACCACAGCTATTTGTTGTATTAGTGAAAGTGAAATAACAGCTATTTTTTTTTTCTGTAGCTATTTATTTGTTAAATTATTTTTTTGTCATTCTATAATTACACACTGTTTAGGTTAATAAAATAATTGTTATAATAATCGAGATTGGAGGATAAAAAATTGTGATCTTTTTTTTTGCCATATCGCCCAGCCC